TCGTGCAACATCACCTGAGAATATTAGAGTAAGATCATTACGTCGATTGAGAATGGCCGTATATAAATAATTACAGTTAATCGGTATTAATTACAGTTTTATAGCACGTATAGAAGAAATAATGACCTGGATATGCATGACGGAGTTGTTTAGATGCGTATTGGCTATATGCATGGTTGGGTATTTTATTGTTATGGTACATAATACGAGATGTAGACTGTACCTATTTATCGTATGGCTAATTTTTTTAGACTGACATTGAACAATTCGATGTGGAGCTATTTTCGTGTATGTTTTTTGAGAATCAGGTTTGTTTTGTGAGAACAGATTGAAATTCCAGTAAAATCAACATATCAGAAAAATGTAAGATACGAAGAAAAACAGATATCTGATTGAGAATATATAAGAAAAAGAACATTTTATCAAAATTTTTGAACAATTATTTTTGTCATTTTTATGCATTCTCTACATCGCAAATATACAAATAGCTTCATGACGCATTGCTCGTGAACATCCATATTTGAATCATGAACTTTTATGCAAGTTTATATTTTTGTAAGCAAAATTAAACAGAGATTCTCTCTTTGTATATTGCATAAAAGTCCGCACGCAATCTAAATACTTACACCACTCCAAAATCGTATTTGCAACGTATCCAAAATTTCCCACCACACGCCAACGATAAGTAATGATGAAATTCGAAGCTTTCCCCAAGAATACGATTGTACTTATTTCTAGGAGTGGTCCGAGCACGAGGTTAAAATTCTCACTACGTATTTCATAATATTTGCATCGGTGACATTCAACACATTTGTATTGTGTTATATCGGTGAGCTGCTAACAGAACAGGTATCAGAGACTCCAATATCGCGAAGATGGCTATCAACCAACATCGGGGAATCAGCTATTAATCGAATGAATTGTTGACAGTGTATGAAAGTCGGTGATATAGTTTATATGACAAACTGGTACCGTTTACCCGTAAGAAAAATGCTCGATTTGGTCCTGATCATCGCACGATCGAGCGTGGTCATTGAAATGACTGCAGGAAAGATAATTCACATGTCTATTCACACGTTTGGTGATGTAAGTCGCATTATTGTCAACATCTAAGACTGTTCATCTCATTTTGAAAAGTGACGAAACTTTCTTCCAGGTGATGAGATTGGCCTTCGCGTACCTGAATGTATTGTTGCAAATGGCGTGATTAGCCAGTACTTAACGAATTTCTTACTTCTATACTTTTGTAGGTAAAATTGTAGAACGTGAAATACACAGTTTAACGTCTTATGATTATTCGATCGACATCACCGTACTCCTCGACGGTTTATCATTTCGTTCCCTCGCTGTTATATTTGTCCTCGTAACGTCATTCGACGATTATTGGCCCGGGTCAAGTCGCAGATGTGGGTGTGCACGCTGACGACTGCACCAACTGTCAGCT